TCACCAACTCTTCTATAACCACATATGTTTTAAAACCTTGTTCATTAAACTGATAATCCCAATGCTTTTGAACTGCAACAACTTCAAGCATTCTTTACCATAGGCCACACAGGTTGGATGTGTCTAATAAAACAATGTTTGGAAGGTCTACGGTACCGTATTGCATTTTAAAGAATATATTTAAAGCATAACATGCTGTAGAGATGCCAAAGAGTTGCTGATAGCAGAGTTAGGATGTTTGCTTAATGTTGCCAGGCTATTAAGGCTAATTACTCAACTAAATATTGTAGTGAGACAAGCTGATGAATAAATAAATTGACAGGAGGGAATCACTCATGTTGGTTTTAGGATCTGTTACTTCAGTCACAGGGTACAGCAGAAATCACAAGCTGAGACAACACGCCAAACTAAATGGATGGTCAAATAACAGACTAAGGACCTACTGGATTGACAATTGCCAGGACAAAGCAAAGCAGAAAAATGGTTCCCAGCGATCTAGTTTGGTTTAAACACTCCAAGCAGCCGATTTGCTCTCCTGCCAAGACTTAACAGCTATCTGAGACGTCATGGCAACACTGCGTTGTGCAGTCTCCTGACCTTGTATTTGGAATGTATTTTTCCCCAAAGGGTGTCCTAATTTCCAAATCAGGATTTGGGTAACTTGATCCAAATTGCAGGGTACCTAAGGTGGAAGTTTCTGGCAAGGCAAGAATTGGTCTCCTAGTGTTGGGGCTGCTGTAGCTCAAAAACTTTAGGGAGTCTTGTGTCCCACTTTTTTCCATGTTTGAAGATTTGTCTTCTTTCAGAGGCATGGTAATTCTTGACAAAATCTGTCCACAATGTTCATTGCCATTTGAAGCAAAGTCTAAGTTCTGTTCACCAGATAGAGAAGGAGGTTTAATGTCAACTCTTAAAAAGATGAGGGAAGCCTGCAGCAATTTCTGTAGAGGCCCTGTTAAAAGCTGCCGAATAATTTCTGAGTTGCAAACACAGCTTTGAAGAAGTATAAATTAGAGGGCCTCGTAAAACAAGGGTTCCAATATTCCCTGATTTGGTACTGTAGATCAAATTGGGGAGGGCTTAAATCAAAGAATCCCATTGTTAAGAGGATGCATCCATTCGCTTGGCAACAATGATCTAGGTTTTGTTATGACTCAGTATCAGGTAAAGCAAATTGACCCCATACTGCAAAGTCTGAATAGCTTCAATTAATTATGTTTCCCCAAGCAACTTCTTTTAGACAACTTTTACACAATGGCACATTTAGAGGGGGGGAAAAACTAGTCCGCTCTCTTGTCATTCTACCTCTAGATCATTATTTATTTATTTATTTATTGGTTTGATTTATATGCTGCCCTTTTCCGGAGACTCAGGGCGGCTTACAATGCTTTTAAGCAATAGCCTTCATACTTTTGTATAATCTGCTTAGTAGGGCTTTCGCCCTCCCCCCCAGCGGTGTTCTTTTTTATACAAAGTCAGCTTATTGCCCCCATAAACCGGGTCCTCATTTTACCTACCTTCGAAAGGATGGAAGGCTGAGTCAACCTTGAGCCTGGTGAGATTTGAACTTGCAATAATTGCAGGCAGCTGGTGTTATCTTAACAGTGCTTTAGTCTGCTGCGCCACCAAGGCTCAATGAAAGTAAGTTCAGCTTACTTTTCTAGTTAAAACACTTCTAAGTTATTAGTGAGACTCATGTTAGCAATGAAATACTTTGTTAGACAAAGCAACATTCTGCTTTAATAAGGTTGAAAGAATTGGATATGTCTCGTTTAATGAAAAGTCATCCATGGGGTGATACGATAGCAGTGTTCCAATATCTCAGGGGCTGCCACAAGGAAGATGGTGTTGATTGTTCTCCAAAGCCCCTGAAGACAGGACAAGAAGCAATGGATGGGAACTAATCAAGGAGAGAAGCAACCTAGAACTAAGAAATTGGCAACAAATCATGAATGAAGAGGAAGAAGCCTAGAAGAAATAGATGTAGCAGTATGCATGAGATAAGAGACCTGGGGCAGAACCACTCATGAAAGCAATGGGGATTTGATATTTTAAGGGGCACAGAAGAAGAATGTAGAGGAAGCAATGGGACAGGATATCAATTGTCCCCATTTCTATATGGTCATACCATTTGATAGCGCCTTGATACTCTAGTGCAGGGGTGTCAAACTCAAGGCCAAGGGGCCGGATTCGGCACACGAGGTGTTTAGATCTGGCCCATGGGGCTGGCCTGGAAGCAGCAAAGGACTGACCCACAGTACTTCTGCCAGCAAAAACAGAGTTCGGGAGGGCCGCAGGCAGGCCTCCTGAGTTCTGTTTTCACTGGCAGAGGGTTGCAAGAGGCTGTCATGGCCGAAAACGGTGTTTGGGAGCCTGTTTTTGCTGGCAGAGTACTTGGACCAACAGGCACCCCTGACAAGGGGTGGGTTCTAAAATTTTTTACTACTGGTTCTGTGGGCATGGCTTATTTTGTGGGAGTGGCTTGGTGGGGGTAATGTGACTGGGTGGGCGTGGCCAACTTTAAAAAAAAACCTTAAGAGGTTGCAGAAAAAAATGCTTTTAAAAGCCTCTGACGATCAGGCAACTCAGCTGGGATCGCCAGAGGCTTTTAAAGGCATTTTTTTCCCTACAACCTCTTTGGCCGAAGAGGTTGTAGAAAAAATACTTCTAAAAGTAAAAAAAAAAAAAGGCCTCTGATGAGGTGGGTGGGGTAAGCGAGCGGTGACTGGGCTGGGGACCGGTTCGGGGGCATGGCCAGCCAATATTATTACCGGTTCTCCGAACTACTACAAATTTTATTACCGGTTCTTGCAAACCGGTGCGAACCGGGAGCAACCCACCACTGCCCCCGACACAAGTGACGTTGAGCTGGCCACATACACCCCACTCCTCACAAGGTCAAACACAACTCTGATGCGTCCCTCAATGAAATCAAGTTTGGCACCCCTGCTCTAGTGAGTCATACAGATGATAGGCTTACCCTTTGCTGATGCTGTTTGAAAGAGACAGGCAGATTCTTATGGTGATGCAAGTGAAGTGGTACGTTTTAATGTTTAGATTTAAACATTTCAGAGCACAATTTTCAAATCAATGTACGTTTAAACTGCAAACGAAAGACCTACTCATCAGGCTTCTTTGAAAATCTAAAGTGATTTGGGGTTTTGCTCCTGGGGAATGTGTACAACCACTTTTGATGGGCAATTTTTTTGTGATTATAAAAGCATCATCCATCTGTGAAATTGAGAGCAACTCTTGTGAACTATGGTGTTAGTTTTCTGTTGCAGTCTTTCATAAATCTCAGGCCTGATCGTCAGATGATGTGGCACACTGATATGTGTGTAAGCAACCGCAGAAGAACAGTGTGGAGAATGTCATCACTTTATGGTGACATTTCGATCACACGGTGAATCTTTTCAACTCTCCCAAGTTGAGCAAAAGGTGGTCTTTAGACATAGAAGAATTCGAAAGGAGAAATCTTTTTTAAATGGCATCAGAACAACTGAAGAAAATAAAAGTCAAATGTTTTAGTTTAAAACTTTTTATTTTTGCTTCACTATTCATTCTGCTATTCAGTTGTTTCAATTTCCCCCCTTTTTCCTACAAACAGCCACAGCCATACAAACACTCAGGATTAGGGATGTTGTTTTGAATGTAGAGGGGAAACTCTATACTCTCTGTCTCTCTGTCTGTCTCCTAACTCTCTTCTATCTGTCTGTCTGTCTATCTTATCATCTATCATTATCTATCTACAGTATATCTATCATCTATCTACATCTATATCTATCTATCTATCTATCTATCTATCTATCTATCTATCTATCTATCTATCTATCTATATCTATATCATCTATTTATCTATCTATCTATCATCTATCTATCTATCTATATCTATATCTATCTACAGTATATATCTATTTATCTATCTATCATCTATCTACAGTATCTATCTCTATATCTCTATCATCTATCTATCATCTATCTATCTATCTCTATCATCTATCTATCTATCTATCTATCTATCTATCTATCTATCTATCTATCTATCTATCTATCTATCTATCTATCTACAGTATATCTATATCTATTTATCTATCTATCATCTATCTATCTACAGTATCTATCTACAGTATCTATATCTATCTATCTATCTATCTATCTATCTATCTATCTATCTATCTATCTATCTATCTATCTATCTTCTATCTCTAAACTATCAGCTGTCTCTATCATCTATCTAATCTACAGTCCATCCATCCATCCATCCATCCATCCATCCATCCATCCATCCATCCATCCATCCTCTATCATCTAAACATACACCCAAACATAAATGTTTACAGTTTCTCCCCACCCCCCAAACTAACTCCATTGCTTGATTCTCAAGCAGTGCAGCTTGAGAGCCCCCGTTTTCATAAGAGCTGCAATGTTTCTTGATTAGTTTAGGGGAAAAAAATCTGCTTTGGATACAAATGCTCCACTTACAAATTTAGATTCTGATACCAGACCTCTCTAGGAAGAAGGAAGTATATACTTAACAGAAATCTGTTTTTCCTACCATCAATGTCTACATACTCTGTCTTGCTGGACCCTTTGTTACAAATGGGCAGAAAGCTGGCTGGCTAATATTCATTTACAATTCTCCCTCAAAACTCTAGGTAAAATATGGCAGATATATATCTGATTTTCTTATTTCTGCAATGACTCAGACTGCTGTGCATGCATGATGTGTAGTTGATAGACCTGGCAACCATAGAAAATTGATCAACCCCTTCAGTTTAATGTTACTTATTGAAAAAATTTTAGACACCAGAAATGTTATGTGAAAGGATTCTATAGTGTACTTATATTGGAAATGCGCTCAAGCTTGCAGCTCTGTGTTGAGGCATATTGGGGGCTAGAGGGTAAAAAGAGGGATATCAAAGGATTATAATGAAAAAAAAAATTCAGGTTTTTTTTTTTTAAACGCTTCGGTTCAACTGAAAAAAGACAACATTTTCTAGTTTATGTAGAAATTATGTTTATTGCATTGTTTGTATTTGAGGGTCTTGACAGCTAGCTGCCTTTGAGTGTGGCAACTTATAGCAACGATGAAATTTCAGTAAAGAAAAATAAAGTAGAACATTAAATGATTCAACTGTTGTAAACTGAAGTCACAAATGTCGCTTTCCATTATGCAACCGAGTTACAGGTTTCTTTTTTTCCTTTTTCCAAAATGTATTTGGGTTTTGCTAATTGGGTTTTTTACATGAATGATGTCCAAACTACAAAGTTTCTGTAGAAAAATCTATGTTTTCCTTATGTTCAAAGCTAAAGGAGGTTGTTTTGACTGCAAAATGCTCAATACTAGAAGGGTAATTGTGTAGTCTTTTCCAAAAAAAGATAAAACTGGAAAAGAAAATTGTTTGAAGGTAAAGTAGTTCAAGAAAAGCAAGTCATTTTTGTTTTTGGGTCATTGTCATCTTTTTTTTGAAGGCATGTCCGCAATAAAATAGTTTTTAATCGAAAACAGTAAACAGGAACCTCCATGCAACAGAACCATTATCATTTCCAAGCATGCAGGTGCTTTTTAAAAAAATTAAAAAATAGAAGGTGCCTCGAGAATGCTGGCAGTTTTATATTTGCAACATACCGTTTGTTTATATATGTATATATGTATATATTTATATATTTACATAGTTACTGATCAACTTTCCTTACAAGCTTCAAAGATAGGAAAATATACAGTACTTTTGCATATAATGGTATATCCTTGTAGCCCCTGAGTCAAGTATTGAGATTTTGATAGAAAAAAAAAAAGGAAGAAAGAAAAAAAAAAAAAGAGAAAACCCCCGGACATTAAAAGCACTTACATTTTAGGTGATGTAAGAATGCAAAAGGGTCATTTCCCAGGAAGACCAGGATCAGAGACATGCCTATGGAGACCCAACATTCCTGTCGTGCTTAGGGGAGAATCGGGCAAAGATGGATGCCTATTTGGGTGGAGGTAGGTCTTACGGAGTGATGGGGTTGGCTCTACAGAGAGGTCATGCTCCTGCTCCAAAAGGGAAGCCAAGTTATCTTCTGAGGCCAGGTGAAGATGTTCTCCGCTTGAGAGAGATTCTTTGGATTTCTCTTTCAATTTGTCAAGCTCCAAGAATTTGGGACCCTGAGAAGATATAACAAAAAGAGGCCTCCGTGGCGTTTATTACCATTAAAAGCAGTTCAGAACATTTGTGGGGGGTTGGGTTTTTTTTGGACGCATTTACACTACTGGAGAATTCATTTAAAAATCAGCAGTGCTGAAATCAGAAGCCGAGTTTAATAAAGGTGCTTCATCTAGAAGAGCCGTGGTGGCGCAGTGGTTAGAAGGCAGTATTGCAGGCTGGCTCACTGTTCCCTCCAGCAGTTCGATCCTAACAGCCCCCACCTTCCTAAGGTTGACTCAGGCTTCCATCTTTCCGAGGTTGGTTAAATGAGGACCCAGACTGTTGGGATCAATATGCTGACTCTGTAAAACTGCTTAGAGAGGGCTGTAAAGCGATATATGTCTAAGTGCTATTGCTATTAAGCAATCCGCTATATTTCTGAGCAACAGATACACATCAATAGACAGGTAGTCCTCGATTTACAACCACAATCGAGCCCAAAATTTATGTTGCTAAGTGAAACAGTTGTTAAGTGAATTTTGTCCCATTTTACGACCTTTCTTGCCACAGTTACTAAATGAATCATGGCAGATCTTAAGTTAATAACATGTTTGTTAAGTGAATCTGACTTCCCCTCCCCCACTGACTTTGTCAGAAGGTCGCAAAAGGTGATCACGTACACAGCAACCGTCATAAATATGAGTCAAATGCCAAGCATCTGAATTTTGATCACATGACCATGGGGGAATGCTGCAATGGTGGTGAGAGTGAAAAATTTTCATAAGTCGCTTTTTTCAGTTATGTTGTAACTTTGAACAGTCACTAAGTGAACTGTTGTAAGTCGAGGGCTACACTACCTGTAATACCTAAGACAGTGATGGAAACAGGCTCCTGTCAAGCCTCAGGGAAATCGGGAGATTCGGGCAGTTCAAATGTGTATAAAGATTTATTGTAAGCTTAAGCGCTCTACAAGAATCTGAACTATCACCAGGTCAACGGAAATTAGCGGGAGTTAAGAATAGAAGGAATTCAAGGTGGGCTGGACTTAAGATCTCTCATGGGTGCAAAGGGACTCCTGACTGATGACATGTTTGACCCCTCCCTTGGGCTCAGCCTGATCATGTCCTACAGCAGGGGAGTCAAACTCGATTTCATTGAAGGCCGCATCAGGGTTGTGTTTGACCTTCAGGGGTGAGGGGGCAGGATGGGTGTGGCCAGCTTGATGTCACTCATTAAGGCTCCGGTTTTGGCTGTGATGGCCTCCTGGAGCCCTCTGCCAGTTAAAATGGAGCCCAGGGAGGCTGTGTGCGGCCTCCCTAGGCTCCATTTTTATTGGCAGAGGGCTCCAGGAGGCCATCATGGCTGAAAATGGAGCATGGATGGGCCACATGTGGTCTCCCCAAGCCCAGTTTTTACTGGCAGAGGGTTGCAGGAGGCCATCGTGGCCAAGAGGCCCTACCAAGCTCCATTTTCGCTGGCAGAGGCAATGTGGGCCGGTCCTTCGCTGTTTCCAGGGCAGGCCCACGGCCCAAAACTAAGCACCCTGCGGGCTGGATCTGTCCTGTGGGCCTTGATTTTGACACCCCTATCCTACAGCATCTCGATTCTAGAGGCTCTGGTCTAATCCACTTGTGCTGCTTTTCTCTTACGGATCTCTATGAAGATCATCTTGTTTCCCACGAGAGGATAAAGCTTTAAATTATGTAAAACCTGCCCCTTTGGAAATGCCTTACCTGTGAAGGACTGAAGCTTCGATCTGTTTTAATTGATGCGATGGGATGAAGACGTCGCAGGAGCCGGACAGCTGGTTTCTGGTAATCTGCATTTGCCATCACCATGCTATAAGCAGGCGGGATGAGGGTTGACTGTCTCTGCAACAGCTGTAAGATGGTTTGAATGTCAGCTGTCATTTGGGATTCAAGCCTGGAAAATAACAGGAAATAACCAGTCTATCAGAATGGTGTATACACTTCACCTTCTCTCAAGCTCTCAGAACAGAGCGCTATAGATAGTACACATGAGTGTCAGGCCTGGAAGGCAACTTTTTTGTTGGAACTTCAGGCCTGCCACATTTACTACTTTGGGAAACGGGGAGGGGGGATTGTATGGCGCCTGGGTGATATATAGTCATAATAACATTCCTTTCTCGGAAAGTCAAGGACATCTTGCCCTGCACCTGGCTGGAACTGGGAGGCATCTCCAGATGGGATGGTGCTTTGATTGGACCATGTGACAGACTTGTGGGTGTTGGGCAGGGACTTGAACTTTCCTTTGGGTGAGGAAAACCTGGAAGCTTTCAGATTCGGGTTTTCCCAGATGTGCCAATATGACATCTCTAATAAAATGGAACTTTGAGGAAACTCAAGCCTCAGAGTTTTCTTTCATTGGGGGCGTTACTTGGAACCCTGACAATTAGGTCATGCCCCTTTGAACAGGGTTTCACGTGACTTTCCCCTTCCTAACGGCAGGAGAGAACTTCTCCATTTTTACACAGCTTATATCATGTGTAGTGGTTTCATTTTCGTGGACCACAAGAGGCACTATGGGACCGTTTTTGTCCTATTGGGACTGATAGCAATAGCACTTAGACTTATATACCGCTTCACAGTGCTTTACAGCCCTCTTTAAGCGGTTTACAGAGTCAACATATTGCCCCCAACAATCTGGGTCCTCCTTTTACCGGCCTCAGAAGGATGAGGTGGTGAGAATCGAACTGCTGGCAGTCGGCAGAATTAGCCTGCAATACTGCAAAACAATTAAGGAATTCACATAATTTGAATCCACGACCTAGCAATATTTAGAGCACGGGTGGCAAACTCGCCGCGTCACGTGACATATCATGACGTTTTTTCCCCTTCATGGAGCTGAGGTAGGCGTGCCCTGTGGATGATGCATCTGGCATGCAGGCCGCCAGTTTGACACCCCTAATAGAGGGACAAAAGAGAAAACTCATTTTTTTTTATGGGGGGACATAAAGATGTGTGAAACAAAAGCTCATAGCAAGGTCATCCCTGCAAATCAGCTACCGTAAAGATTTCATGTAGCATTTCAAAGGTTAAGAAAGACTCACGGAACAGTATTTTTAAATTACAGCCGCACAAAGTAGCTCTTCTGATATTGGCATTGCATGACTTAGCTCATTAAGCTCACTAAGAAGAATCAGAAAATGATAGGGACGGGTTTTCTAAAAATAAGCTGAAAAAAAAAAAAAGAGATTGGAATTGATGCTTGAAGTTCTCGCCGGGAGCTTTTTGAGCAACAGAAAAACTAAATTGGCATCAGAAATAATGATAGTGAAACTCTACCATACATTTTTGGCAGAGTGAAGAAATGGAAGCTTTATGGATTTCTGGAAGAAAAAAAAAAGTCCTCCTAAATACATTTCCCCCTAAGGTTGGTTTTCAAGGAAACATGCTAAATTGTGCAGCTTTCCGTTAAGTTCCAGTGTTTGATCTGATTACAGTTGATATGTGAAAAATTGCTTCCTTTTAAGTAACCATTGGGATGTAGCGGTGGGAGAAGAACAGAGATGAGCTATTTATTTGGGCTTATCATGCTTGCTTTTCTCATATCCCTCTAGCCTCATCTCTACAGGACCCTGTGGGATAACAAGGCAAAACCATTGCTAGAGAATTCCCTGACATGATATGAAGAACACTCTTTGAATTTTCATTCTGAGTTTAGGAAGTTGCCTCTATAACTGAGCCTTGCAATTTATCACACCAGCCATCAACTTTGGATCGCAGCTGCTCTCTGGCCGAGATCCCTCTGAGACGTTGCCTGCGTGAGTCAGTTTCACTGGGAAAAATCAGAAACCTTTGACAAATTGTACCTGGGGCCTCTGAGCAATGGTTTCCTCTCCCTTATGTCTTCTAACAGATGGGTGGAATTCAAAATGTAGCTCATTAAGTCCACCAGTTATTTGTTCTGATCTATTTCAAGAGCGTAAATGCTTTTTATCTATGCAGGTAGTCTTCGATGAACAACTGCAGTTGGGATTGGCAATTCCATCGCTAAATGACGTGGCCGTTAAATAAAAATCACACGATCATGTGAGCGTACCCGACTTACAGAAATAGCAATAGCATTTAGACTTCTATACCGCTCCACAGTGCTTCAGAGCCCTCTCTAAGTGGTTTACAGAGTCAGCCAATTGCCCTCAACAATCTGGGTCCTCATTTGACCAACCTCGGAAGGATGGAAAGCTGACTCAACCTTGAGCCGGTGAGAATCGAACTACCAAACTGCAGTCAGCCAGCAGTCAGCAGAAGTAGCCTGCAGTACTGCATTCTAATCACTGCGCCACCACGGCTCTGATGTCAGAGCTTATGTGGTCATTACGTGAATTATCCATGGTCATTAAACATGTCCTGTGACTCCAACTTGTGACTTCCCGCTGACTTCTCCTTTAATGTTGCTTCTTGGAAGCCACACAAGGCAACCGTGAGACTGTAGGAGTAACCATTGCATACATGTATTGCTTGTCAAGGGCCTGAATTGCAATCACACGACTGCTGGGACAAGTACAACTTGTGTGTACAAGAATCAGTGCTAAACCTACCTTTGCAGCACGACCCTTAACAGCTGTTAAACAGGACGGTCGTTAACCAAGGACTACCTATAAATTAAACTTTATCACAGTCTTTCCCTAAGTCAGTATCGTCATCTGCAGGGTTTTTTTTTTTTTTTTTTTTTGATGGAGGGCTGAGTCGGAGAAAAGAGTGTTTGATGGAAGCACATTTCCCCTTCTCAAAGGGTTGGGATTGCTAATTCCTGGGATTATTAGATGGATCCCAGGCCACTTAAAGTTTGATGCAAAGGTATTTTATAACAAATTGCAAGAAGTTTGCAAGAGCTTTAATTCGTAAAGGAATCAGGTGTAAATCGGATTCCTAGTCATGGGGCAAAAACCCCACAGGTAATCCTCAATTTAAAACAGTTCGTTTAGTGACCGTTCAAAGTTACATCACCAAAAAAGGTGACTTATGACTGTTTTTCACACTAATGACCATTGCACCATCCCCGTGGTCACATGATCAAAATTCAAGATGCTTGGCGACTGACTCGTATTTACAACAGTTGCAGCATCCCACGGTCATGTGATCCCCTTTTGAGGCCTTCTGACAAGCAAAGTCAACGGGGAAGCCAGTTTCACTTAACAACCTAATTTACCGATTACGGTGATTCACTTAGCAACTGCCGCAAGCAAAGTCGTAACGTGGGACAGCACTCGCTTAATGTTTCAGAAATTTTGAGCTCAATTGTGGTCGCACGTTGAGGACTCCCTAACGGTAGCTAAAGAGCAGCAGGTAGATTATTAAAGACCTCAAACAGATGTTCATGGCATATCCTTAAAATCAAATATTGCCCTGCTTTCTGAGTACCGCTTGCTGTGCAGATGTTCTCTGCAGTCAAGGATTTCCCTAATGAGTGCTACCTGCAAGTGAACAAGCTCTGCTCTATAACCTTAATCAGTTGATTAGTACCCTCCAGCCAGCAAACCTGAAATTGACAAGTGCTTAATTGGTTGGAAACTGAAGGCTTTTGTCTTCCAAGCAGCTTTAGCACATTCCTGAACTTGAAAGACTAATCTTTCTGATCATCATCATCCTCTTTTAACGACCCCATAATCCCTTGCGAGGTGGAGTCTGGGCAACTGAATGGAGCTGAGTGTTTACTGGACGGATGCCCTTCCGGTCGCCAATGCAGAGTTTTTTCGCCCAGCAGATATATTCCCAGTGTGCTCAGAGAGAGAAATATCTGCCTCTACCTAGGATCGAACTCACAGCTTCCTGATTGTGAGGCGAGAGCTTCCCCTCTAGGCCACGGCACCCCTCAAAGACCAATCTTTCTGATGTGGGGGTGGGGGGAAGGAGTTTCATATACATGAAGGCCTTCTTGCAGTTTTTTGGGTTTTTTTTTTTGCAGTTTTTTCAATTGTATTGCTTGTTGCAGATGCCAACAATTTCCCCAATTGCCCTTCTTTCTCATAATCCATGTCCTTTTGCCTGCTTGGATAGCTGGTAACCTTATGTTTACCAGATATTTGTAAAATTAAACAGCTGTATTTGGAACCTACCTTAGCCCATAATAGGGGACTACCTGAAGACCAGATAATAAAGACACATTCAACATTGGAGACGAAAAAATTTGAAATTGGTAGATGGCTTTAAACAAACCAATTGCAGGATACCAACAACTTCAAAGCTGAGTGGATGCATCCTACATTGGTTTCTCTCACATGCTAAAACTTAGAAGTGTCAGTGGTCATCACAGTAGGATGTTAAGAGCCAGTAACATCTTCCTTTGTGTCTCTCTTCCTTAACTTTCCAGTGAGCCCTACTATTTTTGTCTTCAATTTACCTTTAATTGTCATTCTACTGCTGCATTTAATGCAATTACCAACCTGCTTTTTAACATTCTCTTTAGTAGTTTTATTTATTCATTCATTCATTCATTCATTCATTCATTCATTCATTCAATTTATATACCGCCCTTCTCCTATTGGCTTTTGACTGACTGTCTCATATATCTCTGAGCCATATGCTAAATAAATAAACATATCTCCGTTAAATGGTTGGAACCTATCTTGGAAGCTTTGTTGTTAATGGATTGGATATTTCTACTAAAATACCGTACAGTGTCATTGTTTAGAAATTTAGGCAGCATGTGTGCATCTGAGTTGATCTATCAACTAGTTTAGAGGCACAAGTCTAAGTTACTTTTATTTATTATTATTTGTTGAATTTCAATTGCTGTGGGGCTACTCTTGGCGGTTTACAACAGTAAAAAGGAAGAAATGAAAAGAGTGTGAACACAAGTAAGACAATAGTACAATAAAATAAATGAAAGAGAACACAATGAGAAATACAACTATATCATCATCATCATCATCATCATCATCATCATCATCATCATCATCA